AAATATTAATAGGGTTTTTATAATGTTAAAAGTTCAGTGAAATGTGCAGTCTGCAATACACCCCCTAATTCAGTGAAGCTAGAATCCAGTACAGTACTACTATAAAGCATTGCTCTTCAGCTTCAAATGTGTGTCTCTGCTGAGCTTTGCTTGATTTCATCCTGACCATCAAGCTGTGAGGGGCAGCCAGGTTACTGTAGAGTACTGCAGACAGAGAGAGGAGGGCAGGATTAGTGTCCGTAAGGAAAGCAGATTTAAATACCTGGAAACTCCCTTGTAGGCTTTCTTTGCGAGTTGCTCCTCGACCCTGGAAAAGAAGTGTGAGCAACTGTGCCTCACTCCACTGAGTATTGTCTCCTGGAAGTCAGCATCCAATTTTTATTTTTTCAAACATAAATGATAACAATGTGCAACATCACCAAATGTGTCATTACGTTCCCTGCGATACAAAATAGAAAATGGACCCTCCTATCTCACTGGTTCCTCAGTGGAAAGCCTTCTTCTTTAGTGTTGACTGCACACCTTGGACATGTCAAGAATCATCTTTCTAACAGAAAGTCCTTCTTTTCTGCAGAGTAGATTTCCATTGTATCAGTTGTTTTTTTTTTAAAGTCCCATCAATTAAAGGATAATTCTCACAACTAGGAAGCCAGCAAACCGAAACACAGACTGTGTATTGGTAGGTGAAATAAATCTTTATATCTTATTAACACTCTGCCAGAATAATGTGAGCATTAAACCTATGGGTAGTGAAAGGAAGGCCTCTGCCTTTAGATTTTATATTCGATGTGGTTCTCTTCTCACTCAAGTCTTGTTTTAATTTAAGCCTCACACTGTGCACTCCAATCTGTAGGATTACCACCATCGTTAAGATTGGCTTCACACAATCGGATAAAGGCTGTTATTTAAATAATTCATGAAGGCTGTGCTAGAACACAAAAATAGACCAAAGAGTATCATGAATCTGGTGTATATTTCAGCCAAGCAAGTTCTCTTTTTTTTCCTCACTTCGTGCAATCCGTAAGCGTATTTATATCGCTTTAAAAAAAAGATCGGAATGGCTTCTGTGACAGTGACACATCCATCAGTTTCTCGTGCTTCACTAAAACAGGCTTTGAAAGCAAGATGCAGGACTTGGGTCCGCAATGATCTCCCTTTGCAGAAAGTACTTGTTCTTTTTTTCCTTTTCTGGTTTGTCCCTCTTCATGCTGTTGTCTTCACACCATGGGAGCAGAGGAGCTCTCCAGGCTGGCATCCTTGCTGGAGGTGTCTGTGCCAAGTGTCTGCGCTGCCATTGAAGATGAAACAGGGATCTGGGGACGGTGTCTGTATGACAGACCCGGCTGATGGCCGTGTGTTTGTGTGTGCTGGGGTGGGACAGAGAGGCAGCGCTGTCTGAACTTCAATGGCTTTATTTAGCAGCTACTCTGCCCAGACATGGCCCGGTCCTGTCACAGCTTGCCCATGCTCTCTGCCACTCCGTGCCCACTTGTGGAGAACAATGAGAGAAATCGCAGCCTTGCCGCCGTCACAGATCCTCTCGTGTCCCCTGCGCAGCCAAGGAAAATGACAGAATCAGATCCGCAAAAATAACTTTTATTTAAAAGGGACAGAGGTTCTCGATTGTACAAGAGATCTCATTAGGGTGGGAAAACATGACTAGCCAGCACTGGAACAGCAAACTCTGCAAAACTCAAAAAACAGCGTTCAGAGAATATCGGCTGGTACAGGAGTGCTGTGATTTGCATATGGGTAAGTGATCTCACACAGGGTGCAATGAAACAGAAACAGAATGGCAGAATTGAAACAGAATGGCAGTGTCTATCTTATGTCATAAGACATGCCCAAACTTACGTCATGGTAACAGAACTGCATTATCCTGGGTCCAGTTGTTTCTTTTAAATCTAAAACCTACTTAGGAGAAAGAACAAGCAACCTCGAAAGGCTTGATCAGCTATAGATGAGTAGACAAGTTATAAATATGAACTACCATGTCTGAAAATACTGGCCTCGTGTACCTGTATACAGTATTCTTTCTGAAATAAGGGAAATCAGCTAAGAATCACAGAACCAAAAAAGAAATGCTTCTCACTCTCTGCTCTTTCCTCACTGCTTCTGCTATTTTTAAGGAATTCGATCTCATCAATAGAGCAAAGGAGATTTGAGCAATGCACGACACTATTCTCTCCTCCCTCTTGGGATTTTTCTCAGCCAAAAATAGGTCACAAAAGGTTTACAAATGGTGAATGAGGCACACATACTGTACGTGAGCCTGGTGTGATTTTCCTGTCTGTTATTGATAGATCAATAATATCCCAAACGTTTTTGTAAGAGTAAGACAGGCGTAGGGCTTTCTAGAAATTGTATTTATATGCTTTTTGAAAGAAAACACTGCCATCAGTTACAAACATGCTTACAGAATCATGGGATTTGTCAAGTAAATTTGATCCGATGCAAGAGATACAGTAAATGCATCAGTGTTCACTTTCTTGTGTACATTTCTATGACAGATAATTATACATAGAAATGTTTTCATACTTAATATACTGTAGTGCTCTCGGTTCACGTGGGTATGCACCCTCACCACTGCCGCCTCAGGTCGGCCCCCCACTGCTGGGGATTCGAACCCGGGCCTCCGGCGTCACTCTACAGGGACCGTGCCAGTTGAGCTAAAGGGAAATCTCCCCACAGCCCAGCCACTGAGGTGCCTTCTATTCACAGGGAAGGGCGGTGACGTCAACGCACTGGTAAGCCGGCTCACACAACTTGTAATGTCGGCTGTATGCGTTACAATATTTCTACGATAGATCTTTTACATATGTAATTTTCTACATTGATTCTCTAACAGTGTTTGAATTTTCAGCAGGACCCAAAGTCCAAGTCTAGAGCTCCAAGAGCACAGCTGCTGTACTACAACACTAATTAGTTCACCAATTAAAATGCTCATCCCCCAGCACGTCAGCACTTTCTAACTCGGTGAAGCCTGCTTGTTTATTCCTCCATACACACTAATCTAAAGCACACAGCATATTCAAATCTTTTTTGACAGAAATGGGAGTTCCTTACTACCTGATACTGAAATGGCATTGGTCCAAGTTCCTCAGAACAGAGGCCCTTTATGCTGCGTAATATATTTGTGTCATTGCCTGAGCTTTGCTCACTGATCACTTCTGGCGAAGCACTTACTGCTTTATTGTTTTATGCGACTGCTATGCGCCATTTGTAAGATTCTTCCATTTGCACCTTGACTGGATGCGACTATAAGACACTTTGGACAAACGTATCTGGTGAATGAATACAAGTAATTGAAAATGAAAGGGACAGTGGCGAACCATAATGTGGTAGCTCCATTAAGCACACAAAACTCTAGAGGGGCAGAGCTCTATACAATGTAGCTATCTATGCATGTAATCATATACACATAAGTTAGAATTTTTTACATTCACATCACTTCTTTCCAAACACTTTATAGGAATAATGCTTTCTCTCAGACGTGTAATGTAACTTCCTACTTACAGTACCTACCGAAAGATGGAATACAAACTGACAGGGTGTTTATGTAAGTGCTCTTTATGCTGGTTCAGTTTTTACTATGTCATTTGTGTGCCACTTTCTGACATTACTGCACCTGCACAATTGTTCCTTCCTACACTTAAATGAAATGTTTCATATTGTAAGTTACCTCGGTAATGGTTGTTTACTAAGCCCATAATAATAAAATTAATCAAGAACAAATACAATGCCATCAGATCTCCATATAAATTGGCAATCACAGGTTGATATTTCTGGTATCAAAAGGACAATTAGAGCTTGTTAACGGCTTCCACCAACAACCAGATGGCCTGGATACAACTTGGGCCGATGCCAGACATCACAAAGCTGAGCTAGTCCATTTCTTATCCAAAGTGTAATGCTGCTGACAAAGGATCCCAAATTTGGCACAGGCTCCCTCTGGAACACAGAAATCAAAACTGGGAGGGACACTATCCCTTAGGGAAGTCTTATATAACTTTTAAGACTCATAATTACACCATATCAGAAGTTGTCACTTCCTATCAAAAATGCAAGCAATACACAACACAAACTGGGAAAATTATTTTTAATTGTTATCTAACACTACGTTTTGTTGCTTATTGGATAAACTATTTTAATTGGTTTGGGTTTTATTAATGGGATTTGTATTATTCTTTAATGTAAAGATGTAGCTTTGTCATATGTGAACATGACAGCTAATCTCAATAGTTTAATTCTTGCTGGTTATGAAGAAAGCTGTGAAGGGTGTGATGGATTTAAATTCAGACTATAATTCACTTTTGCGTCAAATTAAACTAGTTGTGTGTTTATTAAGGTTGTATATGTTGCTGTGGTTGTGTCACAACAGGACTGTATTTTAGTAAGAGGCTATACAATTAATTATAATTACTTCTCAAAAGCTAAGTGACTACAGGTGTAAAGATTTACTGACTGAAAAGATCTGAAATGAAGTGTATTATACCATTGAATAAAAAGGTGCAGTCTTGTTTATAACTAATTGTTCTATGCCAATGCGATTATTTCTTTAGGAAGAAAACTCCACAGCCTCAATAATACCCAGACATGTGCCTACAAGTGTTAATGGTTGTTAGGAGCAGAGTCCTTTTACTGCATGCAGGTTAATTGTACAGTGCTCATAATTTTTCCGTCCCAAAATTAAACCTTCCAGAAAAGTCTTTCAGAGTTAACAGCATCCATTTAGTTAAGTTTTGCAACGTTTTATATTTAATTTAAATTATTTGAACAAAATATGATACTTGTTATAGCTTCTTGCTATAATTGAGTTTTTAAGGATAATCAGTAGAGCTGCTGCACTGTGACTCCAGCCCTGTATTATTACAGTACATACTGTGCGTACAGCTAATGGCAAAAACACAAATCCTTAAGCAAATACATTTCGTTATAAATACGTTGAAACAATATGATTAGTTCTAAAAACTCCTAAACAACTCAATGCAAAACTCGCTTCATGCCTCGCTTACGTTATTTTAAATCACAGAAACTGTGGAAATTAATAAAACAAATTGTGATCGTTTAACCAAAACCTCATTGAATGTACAAATTAAGCTACAGTAAATTGAACGGGATAACGTATAGTATTCTTAAAATATGTTAAGTGAAAATCTTATGGTCATGATAAGATTTGTAAGAGAAACAAGACACTGAGTTCTTCACAAATCGCAGCTGTCGAAGAATTCTACTGCTGCTATCAAATTTACAAATATGATGTATAATATATGGCATTACATCATTTTATTATTTAGTTTGCTTAAGAACAGGTTTCCTCTATGTAAACCGTAATAACATTAATCAAAGACCTTTGCAAAAGGCAAGATCAGGACAATGCAAATACTTCAGTTAAACATCAAAAACACAACGAAAACTAATTTATTTTAACACATCTAATTAGCTAATACATCAAAACAACGCAACAGTTAATTAAAATCATATTCTGTGGTTTCACTTAGTATGCCAGTTTTCTTCAAGTTTCACGTACAGGTAATGATCACGTAGTTGTTACTTCAGTCACACATCCCAGACAGTTCACTGATTTTAAACACTGACCACCTCTTTGGAGAACAAAAGTTTTCAAAATCAGAAAACAAATTTTAATTCTATTCCATGTTCTCAACACGTGGTAACCCCATATTTAGCCATAGGTTTACAATCAGTTTGGGAATGCGTATCTTTTCCTCACCTTTTGAGGAAGCGCTGAACAATACAAGCACAGCGGAATAAGGAATGTTCCAGTGTCACGCGACAAGCATTTACCAATAATAAATACATCTGCATATTTCAATTATACTACCGGTTTACCATACTTTGACAAAACGAGGAATAGTTATTTTAACACAGGGCTCTCAGTCGATTGTCGTTGCCTAACAATTACAGCAATATGCCCATATACTGTTAAATGCTGTTATACAGACAATTATTTTGTGTTTTTTTACACAATAATAATTGTGTAAATTATTTTGTGTTTTTGAACGAAATGCAACATACATAGTCCCACGCATGTTTTTTTTTTCTTCTGCAAATGGGAGAGCTGTGTTATAAGAAACCTGAAGTTGAAAGATGGAGGAAAAGTTACAGCGTAACACTGAACATCTCCACAACTCTCAGAACTGTCTCAGAACAGTGGAGCTACAGTATAGACGCCTGCACTTCACATGCAACACCAAAGTCATTTTGGGAAAGTGATCTCTGGTATGATCAAATATCTACACGGATACAGGTACATGAAGTAACATGTAAGATGTGGTAGCTTAAGAAGGTTCTTACCTGTTTTGTTACGACGCAGGCAGGTGTAATCCTAACAGCCTCTTCCTCGTATCAATTTCGCGTCGATCGTGACACTTCTTACTACTGCCTGATCCTACTGCCTGACGTTTTACACTACAGTATGCTGTATGATAGATGGATCATCTTCCTGGCTAAAACTCTCCGTATTTACCACTCATTCATAAAGCTTGCTAACGCAAATGACAGCGCTCACCGGAATTGTATTGCAGGTGTACGGAGACTGCAAACAGACTTTTCCTGTATCAGGTGTGGCTTGGACGATGGGATAGAATGGATCTCGTTCAAGCTGACCTTTCACCAGCGTCCCGTAGGGAAGGTTTGTTCTGTTATAAAAAAATATTTTTTTCATCTCAGCAGGAGGATATCTACTGTAGATATGTTGCCTTCTTATCCCGTTTCCCCAGCTTGTCCCATAGAGCCTGAGTTTCATGTTTCCAAAGGTTGTGATTCATGAACGTCAGAGGTTTTCTTCAGTTCGTTATTAATGGCATAAGAATCGAGAAGCAGTAGCCGCCTGTCATTAAAACAGTCACAACAATTCTGCTACTCTTATCTGTTCTTTTACACCCCTCCGAACAGCAAACTCAGATTAATTAACTCTTTCTGTGTCAGTAATAATGCAGCACTCCAGCAATTATTTTATTTACGTCTAAACCTTGCCTTCTGCCGGTGGATAATTTTCACTGATACTTGTTGCTGTGCATTGCAAAGAAATGAATACCTTACGTAGATAACAAAATATTGATTGATAGTAATGGGTAGCATCTTTTACATTTACTATCATGTCCCTGTATAACTCATTGTTTTAGTTAAAGGAATAAGTCTTTAAACACACTGCTGCCACATGAATTCATAGGTTCATACAGTACTTGTGTGTATTAACCCTAATATATCCATTAATATACTGTATTTGACACTGGGATAATTAGAAGCGAAACGCATCCCCACAAACATTTTTGTGGTAACACATTACGAGGCTTGAACAGTTGTTTCAGATTTTATTAATATATCTCAGTATCTTGATACACGTATCTTGAGCAGCAAATAGTAAAATGTGTGAATTTAAAATGATTTAAGTGCTAAGCATAAGTGAAATAAAACAAAGCACAGGTACGCAATCTGCTTTATTAACAAAAAAGTTATAGAGCTCTATTATGTTGACACATCGAAACAGAGAGAGGGTGAACAAGGCTGGGGGACTGTCATATCTCAGGCAGTCAATGCAGGCAGTCTAGCTCCAGATGGGGGCCGCAGTATGTGGCCCTGCCCTTGGGTCTGAATTTGGTCCCGGAGTCGCTGAATTTCCAAGCGCTGGAGTTCGATAATTCTCTCTGCTTCCTGCTCGAAGTCCAACCGGGCCACCGCTTTGCTTCCATGGCCATCTGCAGAATGAGCTTGAAACAAGTGGACAAAAACGTATTTTTCGGACTTCAATAATCTTTCCTTATTTAAAAAGCTTGTATAGATCACATTTACTCCATAAAATCGTATTTCAGTTAGGCAAATAAATACCTTAAAATATGTGAAACATAATTATATACAGTATTTACAAATATGCTTTTTAAGTTTAACCTGTGCCTCTTATAACCTCTTGTAATTCCATATGACTGGCATTAAGGTGACATCTAGTGGTAAGAAAAGTCACTGCTCTCACCAATGGCTTCTATGAATATGGAATAGAATGGAACAGACATGCAAGCCTATCAATAAATAATAAATAGAGTTCAAGAGATAAAGATTACCTCTTATTTCAATTGGATTCTGCTTCTTGTTCTTTTTGTTGAGCCCCATTGTTGCTTCATAATCATGGACCTGAGTTCGCACCAGCTTCAGCTCTCTTCTTAAATCATTTATCTCCTTGATTAAGCAGACGTTTTCCTGCTTGGACACACATATACAGTATACATAACATATATCACAGCGTATTATAGAATTGATGCAGTTAGAATCACAAAGACTTGGTGGCCCATTATTTCAAACAGTTATACACATTAATTTATTCTCAATGTGTTTATTGAGCTGTATATGCTGTATTAATAATGCATTATATCTAACCTGCATGATTTTGACATTGTCGGCTCTATGGATCTCTGCATCCTTCAGCATCTTCTTCTTTAGGGAGGCCACATTCCTCTCCAGGTGTTCCCTCTGGCGTGTGTACTCACGCTGGATATCTGCTTCTACTCCCACAATGTCCACCTGCCATGAAACCATGAGCAGTCACACACAGGACTAGGCTCAACACTCAGCAATAAGGCAGTGACAATAAGAAAGTAAAATTACAACACCAAACACATTCCTAAATGCATCTGTTTATGAATATTGTTCTAACCTAAAACTGACAGAATAGATGCTAAGGTAATGGAGCCATTTCTCACAAAGTTGCTGATCAGTACTGTATAAAAAAAACTCTTTAAGAAATGTGTGTCTTCAAGAGTGAAAATAATAGTTTTTGTTTTTTTATGGTTGTTCCTGTACTGTTTAATAAAATAATGTGAGAGATTCAGCCGTATGTGTACATATAAAAACGAGAGAAAGTTTTTAAGTAATATCTTCAGTACATTTCTAAACTCTGTTTCTGTAAGCTCAGAGTAAACAGCAGGAGCCTCTTACCACATCAGATTGCTGGACGTATCTGTCATAAAGTTCTCGAATGCTGTCTTTCAGTTTCTTTGGCTCCTGAATAAATCCAACACAGTTGTGCAGATCAGTTTTAAACCTCCTTACTAAAGCCTCCACATCTCGCACCTATAGGGAGAAAAAACAGAGAAAGAAATTAAGGATTGAAAAAGCAGCTCATGAGAAAACATTATACCTTGTTCTTTACCCTCTACCCTTACATCATCTAAAATATGATGTCATCTATCTTGCTCATTACTCTCCGTAATGTATACGCCTTATTCACAAGCACTTGGTTCAAAAGTGGTCCTGGATTGAAGGACATACCCTTTGCATTTCCTTGTGCATCTCCTTGTCAGTGGCCTTCAGTTTCTGCTTCAGCTCCGTAATGTTGAGCTCCAGCTGTGTATTCTGTTTATGGAATCGTTCTAATTCACTCTCCATCTAACAAGACAAAGGGCATGTATTGTAGAGTCTTTTTCACTTTAAACCCAGTTCGTATTTTAAAACAGTTTTTATATTAAACACAGTAGATTTAAAAGTGCTTGCTAAACTTCTCTTTAAACAGAATTATATAAGACAGTCTTTAAATATTATAGTACAATTGTAGTACAGTACAACTGTTGTGTATTTAGTGGAATTCAGTGGTGGTAGAGAGTACTTAACATGTACGTTGCAGCACATGACACCCATTTTACCTCTTGAATCTGCTCCTTCATTTCTTTAATGTCATTCTCTCTTGGTTCAATCTGTTTTTTCAGTTCTTTGATTTTATAGTCTAGTACAAACTTAAACTTCTCCAGTTCCTGGTTTTTCTTCTTCAGGTCATAGATGCGCTTCTCCTACAGACGAGAAACAACTTTCAGTCCCTATTGCTAAACTTCATTTTAGCCATTCAAACAAAACATTTTGTTTTAGTTCAGTAATAAATACGCTCTGAATTGGAAAACAAGTCCTAAAGCACAAACCAATCTTTTGCATTAATTGCATTGATTAATACACATTTCATGTTTAATGTGTGGTACTGTTTGAATTGAATTCCTTAATTATTAAAAAAACATTTGGTACAATTTCTGCTCAGTCCAATTAATTATTTGAAATTGTTAGCTCACAGCTGCTGGGATACAGAAAACTATTTCTAAAGGTGTCTTGGGGCTAATCTTTTCATAACCAGCAGCTGTGACATTCAAACATTAAGCAAATTACCAATTAAAACAGACATCATACAAAGAAGCAATGAACTGTTGGTTTGGGAGTCTTCCGCAAGCTTCACTATAATAGCACTCATAATGTAATCTTTCATCTTCAGCTTTCAAACTTCCCCCTTGTTCCCAGCTGTTGCTGACTTGGTATTTGTATGGCAGGTATTGTTGCAATCAGCTGTCTGTATGTGTTTTGCATTTAATCCTTTTTTTCAGAAGCTAAATTTGAGAGTTGATATTTACGTTTGTATTTGTAAGATAACTCAGGCATCACACACCTTGTCCTGGATAGTTTCATCTCTCTCTTGGATCTCCTTCTTTAGTCCAAGGATATCCTTTTCTAGGGATCTGATGACTCCTTGCAATTTCTGTTGCTCTGACTTCAGTTTTTCAATCTCCAGATTCCTGTCATCAATCTCTTTCTGCAGACTGCTGAACTGATTTGACAAAGGAAAGACAGAAGGGTCTTAGAAAATCACATTGAAGAAAATGTCACTATAAAATACATTTGATGTATTCAATTTATTCAGCCACTATTGGAGCGTCTTTTATTCCTGGTAAGAGTCCCCTGTCATGGAAGCACAAGGCAGGAAAACACTCTGAACTGAAGTCCAGTCTCCAGTCCATTGCAAATAGGAACTCCTTATAGACACCAAATAATCTAGCCACCATGACTTTGGAGAGAAGCAGGAAACTGGAGCACTTGGCACAACCCCAGGAGAACACAACGAAAATATGCAATATGCAACTCAACACAGAAGGTCCCACAGTCCGGAGTCAAAGCCAGGACTCAAGAGCTACGAGGCAACAGTCTAACTCTCTGGCCTTTGGGACACCCTATTTTGTCATAGGGTCAAATTGAAATATTCTGTTTCTTAAATTAAAATTAATACAATAAAAATAATAAACATTTTGACATCCTTGACAACATTTTTGACATTAAGATTCTTGACATCTACTGTAAAAACATAACTTAAAATGAGTTTTGAATTTTTCACATACAATCCATGTAAGAGTCACTGCAAATATTATTTTTCCCAGCATTGCTATAAATCCTAACACCAAAGACCTTCTTCCATACTTTATCACACATCTTCATAATCACATCATACATGATGGTATCTCTCATTTGGGTTTTTCTGTTTACAGCAATGGTTTATATAGTACTTTGCTATGAGGACATGGCTTGAGTTAGAATGGGAAAAAAAGTGATTCAGTGGACTGGAAGCTTTCCTCTCTCTAAATTTGTTCCCACCTTTTTCCTCATGATTCCGGTCTCACCCTTCAGTCGCATGTTGGTCTCCTTCTCGTCTCTCAGTCGTCTCTCGTACTTGATGCGGATGTCCTGGATCTCCCGATCCCCATCTTCCTCCATCTGCTTCTTGGACTCCTCGAACTCTCGCACCTGCTGCCGTGACTCATCCTGACACTGTCAGAGAGATCACAAGACTGAGACACAGAAGGCCAGGTAAGGTGCAACACTGAATCAAATTGAAAAAAAAAAATTAATAGATCTTCAGTTGTTCATTAAATTAAAATATGAGAACATTAGTTCCATTTTCCTGATTTTTTTATTTCAATGTTTTTTTTGCAGCATTATGTAACTGTTGCTTTAGAAACCTTCTACTGATTTTAAAAGGATTATTTGGGTCTGTGCTGTTGGCACTCCTTCAATTTAATTCTCCCTGTACAAATATCACTTGTTACTTGTTATCTTTAAGATCTGCTTAAATATTTTTGGTCATCGAGAGAAAATGCAGACTTTGATTTTTTTAAACATTTCAAAACCTGTTCCAGTACAACTTTTAAAGTGTCCTTATGAAATGCTTTAATCAAATGCCATTACAAATATTTCTATAGAAGTCTAGTGTTAACACTGTTACCTGCTCCAGCATTAGCAGTTTCTCCTGAAGCTTGGACTCATAGTACTCTGTGAGCTCCTCCAGTGCCTGGGTCTTGCTCTCCTCCATCTCATGCAGCTGCTTCTCATACTCCTCCTGCATTCTCTGGGACTTCACCTGCAGCTCTTGGTACTTTTCATACTCCAGCATCAGCTTTTGGTTGTTCGCTGACTCTGCATAAGGGATGTTAGACAGCAGGTTTAGACCAGCAGGAGATTTAAGTACAAATAATTTGGCTTTGGTCAGTCTTTTGGTGTAGTTTGCTTTGTCTCGTTGTAGCACAGCATATCACTACTAAAACAATTGGATTGCCATTATACCAACAAAAATGTATTATAATAAAAAAACATTGTGTTCTTAAAAAATAATATTTAACTTTTCAGTTACAATATGGTGTCTTTCATCTGATTTGAACGTTTAATTAGGCCATGATATCACTTAAAATCTTTAAAAATGCTACTAATTCTAATAGTAATTCTAATGGTGCATGTACAAGATCAATATACAGTACTATGATGTAATAATGTTTCATTAGTCGCTTTTAATTAAATACCCTAACTGGTGGAAAGTCGGAGAAATCACCTAAGTCCTGCTGTTCTTTGGAGTGTTTTTCCATCACCACTGCCAGCTCCTCTTCGTGAGCCTGCTCCTGTTTCTCCTTCTCTGTTTTGAGAACCTTTATGAAACCAGGCATGAAAAGGCTGAATATTCCAGTGAGGGAAGTCATTCGTTTTTAAAACACTGTAGATAGTTTGCGTAACGTTAGCTTTGAAATTTGATTAAAAGCCACCAGAACACCTCAGGAAAAGAGATTCGATGCACTTGGGCACATTTACTGAACCATCCTCTGGGATTACTCAAATTAGTAAAAAGTGAAAAAAAATACTGAGGTAATTTAACCAGGTTCAAATTCATGGTAGTTTCATAAGACTTAAGTAACCTGCTGAATGTGGTGTTGTACTCCACTGTAAAGTGTTGCTAATTCAGTCACATCACTGGCATAAGGAACATTTTATTCTGATTAACCTTTTCTTGGCAATAGAAAAAGAGTCAATTTCCACTTGGAATTATGTCCCCTCAATCATTTTGTAATATCTCTGGAAGTTTATACAGTAGAAGCTTGGCTTATGGTTTAAATTTAAGCTAATACAAAATTGTTGAATATGTTTTGTAAATTTAAATCTGCCGCATTATTTATAAAGGTCCTGCTGATCGCACACCTGGTTCTTTGTTTTCAGGGACTCCATTTCCTGGATAAATTTCTCAGTCAGCTCTTTGATTTTCTCATTGTAATTCATGTCCTTCAGTCGGAGCTGGTACTCATTCTCCATTTTCAACTCTTCTACCCTCGTTTTCAATTCCAGCATGACCTGATTCTGTAACATGGAGATAAAGAGAAAAAAATCATCTCTCTTTTTCCCAATTTTTTATACTTCTTATGTTCGAAGAGACTTAGAATTTAACTATGTAAGCAAAACAAAAGAAAAGTGACACACAATTAATCCCAACATAATGTAAAACACTAGAAATATAACTATTAATGCTGGATAGTATTTAATGTCCTTACTTCACAATAATGTTTTTTTAGGAATGTATACATTCTTTAATACAAAATGAAAGTAAAAATTGTATGCATTGATAAATTATATATATTATATACCATATACTCTATATTATATATGACTTCGCTAATCACTCCTTTTTATTGCACTGTTACTGCCCTACTGTATGACATACCAAATAAACTACAATTACCTTCTCTTCCAAGTCAGACTTGGTGATGAGAATCTCTTCTGCATAGGTGACCTCTTTGTCTCGTTTTAGGCCTCGTCCTTCTTTGTCAATTATCTTCCAGATCAGCAAACACCCATCCTCTGATACTGTCAGCAAATACTGGTCATCAAATGTAATAACCATCTGCAGGCGCAACCATAAGAGGCATGGAATGAGTGAAACATTAATTGATTTGGTTGTTGTTTTCCTAGACCTTTTCTTAAATGACCTAATCTTCAAATCATTTATTAAAAATGCAAATTGGATAAAGATGAAAGATTCAACATCTTTCATCTTTCATACAGTACACTTCATAATAATATAGTATTGTTATATGACTTTTGGGTCTTAGCTGGCATGTTTAACATATTTATGAATAATAAAATACTGAAACGCACCTTTGTCACAGGTGCAGCATGTGCCTGATACTCGGTCCAGTCTTTTTGTATTGGTAAAGGGTATTTGATGGCTCTAATTGTTCCAAGAGATGTGCCGGTGAACAACATTCGTCCTGATCGAGACATCACTACACTGGTGTATACCACATCATCAGAGTAAACTTCTCGCAGGATCTATAAAAGCAAAATATAAACTATTTTTTCCTTTAAAATTAGAATATGATTAAAAAATAAAACATACTGATTGTAGAGAGAAACATGTTCTTGTACACATACTACACACTTTGCTGCCATTAAAAACAAATATTGTATAACAATAACAAAGTAATATTAAATAGCGTATGAGTCACCATAGCAGAGCAGGACTGCAGGACTATTTATAGTAGTCATCTAACTTAGAACAAGGAACAACCTGTTGTTCTTCAAACATTGCAGGACAAAAATAAAAAAAAATCTAAAGGAATCTGACACAGAAGTGTACAATTGATTTGAAATATTCTGTCATGAGCATGAACAATTTCTTTATGCCTTAACCAATTCTTCTAATTTAAATATTTATGTTTGTATGAGAATTGAATGTGAAATGTGAAATTGTTAATTCATATTGAATTTGGGAGGTTTGAAAACATGGTTAGAACAACCCAGATGAATTATACACATGCAGCAAATTTGAATGTTTGTAGTAGCTTTTCCATCACATTTACCAAGTAATCTTAAAAGATTGTCTGGTGTTGCTTGTCATTATTTTCATTCATTCCTCCGTCCATATCAATACAACTAAAAGGTTGTCTATTGCAATACCTGATCTGTCAGGATTAAACCTAACCCTAAATAAATAACATCAGTAGAAAATCACTATAGATATGTTTCTACATAAAGAAGGAAAAACATTGACTGAAAAGAGCAGAACAATGCAAAATGTTTGACTTTTGCACAGCTGTGTATTTATGTAAAAAGGCTACACACCAACAAATAAGATAATTATGCCATGTGATTCTGATACTACTGGTATCCCATCCAGGATGTATCTCACTTTGCACTCATTGCTTGCCATGTTAGATTCAGGCTTCCCCTTTGTCCCTGTACTAGATAAGAAGATTAGAATTGGATTCTGATGCTGTATATAGTGTCAGGGAGAATACAGCAAAGTTCTAATGTACTGCATTTAAAAAGTGAGTAAAGTGAAAAATTACTTTTTCCATAAGGCATGAAACAGAATTATTCAAAAACATTAGCTAGTTTTGATCATGCATATATGAAATGATGTTCTCAGCCACACAGAGAAAAAAGCAAAGGAATCTCTACAGTACGCTTCCCACACCTGGCAATCTGTGATCTCTTTCAGAGTGCAGTCTGAGCCGACAGCAAAGATGGTCTTGCTGTCAGAAGAGATGGTGATATCATTGTAGCTGCAGGATTTCAAGACGCTCTCTGATTCCCGTTTGCCGGTGAGGGTGTTCCACTCATAGACAGCTCCATCCATGCCACAAGACACCAGCCTGCTGTCATCAGCACTCCACACAATGGACCGTACCTGAGGAGCACACAAGAAAGCAAATCACAAGAAAAAAATCGGTATTACCTTGCAGCTGCAATTTTGCCAAGACTCTGAAAACTTCAAGTATTCTGTATTTTTTTATTTTCTTTTTAACTGGCTTTATGTCACTCAGAATGCAAGTTCACATTTACTGTACATTATGCCACTCATTAAGCACCATGTTCAGTTCTTAAATGCAAGCATATAGGTTAAGCTTGAACAAACAGGTGCCTTGTCTCACCTTTCCATTGTGTCCTTTCAGGTTAAGGATGTTTTCAAATGTTGTTGTCGAATAGATGTGAATGATGTTTCCATTGACAGCTGCGAACAGGTGGCCACCATGACTAAAAGCACACTGGAAATAAAGCAGTCTTATCTGAAATCTGTAGCATGTAATGCACTTCATTTGCTTCCTACAGTATACACGACAGGCATCAATACAGTTAGAACTTCCAAAGTGGGGACAAAACTTCTTGTTTTAAAATGTTGATATATGCAGTTATTGAACAACAAGAATTCCTTAATATTTCTTTTTCAAATTGATACATTTACACTGAGCAATTGTTAGAACGAATCTGCACTACTGAATGGATCTGTTTCTGTGTTTGATCTCACCTCTCTGCATCCCCGCACGGTAAATTCTTTAAAGGTCCTGATATCATCAATGAGCAGGTTCATCAGCCGCAATTTATCTGAGAATCCCACCAGGATGAAAAGACCAGATGGGTGGAGTGCAATGCTGTAGGCCTCCTCCTGGAACTCTTTATAAAGTTCCAACGTGCTGGAACGAGTGGAGGGTTCAGTAGAGAGTACATAAACAAAAATATGTACAAATACACAATGCTAAACCAGCACTATAGGCATCTTAAATGGTAATATAAATATTATATTCATATAAATAGAATGTGCTATGCAAATTATGTTGTATACAATAATAGCAGATGTTCATAATAGTCAAAGTACCTGACTTTTCCTGATTTTATTTTCCTGACATTGAAAACTGTAGTTTTTAAAAGACAATGACATCTGTGGAAATGGAAAGTTGTAAAGCAGCCCAGGAGGATGAAACACTGTCCACTTATCTGGTCATTCTGCTTACTTGTTCTCAAAACTCCAGATTCGAACAGAGTGGTCCAGAGAGCAGGTGGCAATGAGAGGTTTACGGATGCATATGGACAGACCAGTGATGATGCCAGAGTGAAAGGAGTGGGACAGGAACTCAAACTGTGCTTGCTCCCCCTTCAAATAACACAACATGCAAACAAAACTTCAATGTAAATTCAAAGACCACTATAGGTTCTTAATCACTTCAGGAATCTTAAACAACATTTTTATGTAACACTGAAATGGCAGTGCAATATGTACATAAGGAATTAATACTTAAAAAAACATTCCATAAAAATTAGAATTATGTTTGGCCTTTCACAAGCCAATAGAATCTGAATGAGTGTACATCAGCAGTACCTTGCTCATCTCTGCAGAGGAGAGGGTAATGCTGTAGAGCTGGCCACGGTCAGTGCTGGCAACGAGGGTTTCCTCTGAAGGGCTGATACACAGTGAAGAAATCTCCTGCTGCTCTGCCAGGCTGGGCTCATTACTGTACTGGTCTGAAGGAATCTGTTAGTGAAGCACAATCTTTACTGCTGACTGGCCACTGGCTTGTGATACACCATGCAACACACTATATAGTATCTCATCAGGAATGAACTAACAAAATAAGTTAATACCTGTATTAAATGTAGATGATAAAGTCCACAACAAGCATACTGAACTTGGAATCTCCGTAGTACATTTTTATGATCCTGTCTTCTCCAACTTGATAAAAGTTCTAGACTAAACTTTTGTAAGGTTTGATAAAGGAAGTAACATTTCTGTAATCAAATCAAGTCAAGAGACAATACTCTCTCACCCTGATCTCCCTGGTTCTCTTATATGTGTCCTTTTCGTCTGTCTTCTCAAACAAGCACACTGTCCCCGGCCCAGCTGCACAGGCAAACCCCTTGGAATAGGCAGTTATGGCTGAGACATGAGGAAGAGAGGTGGACATTGGCTCATCCAGCATGCTTTTTTCCACTGACCTAACAAGCAAAAACAGAAGTTTGTAACTGCATGCATTTTATGTTTTTACATTATAAGTGTGAAAGTTAACATATTATTTGTCGCTTTAATGCGCATTTATTGTTGAAGGTGGATGGATGAACACACAAGATGGATGAACAGGCATTGTTAATCTGTTGTCATAATAATCTCTGTACACAACACAAATGTATCAAGAAGAACTGGGGACTCATACAGTACTTGGCATAAATGAAATACTTCTCTTGTTCCTAATATCAACCTGTGTTCATATGATGCCATTGATTCCAAGTGCTTTACTTTGGAAATTTAAACTTTCGGTTATTTAACTTCCTGATTCAAGTGTACACATTTCTGACACATGGATGTAATTGGTGGCATAAACAGCAGAAGATTCAGTCAACATTTTCATTGCAAATTTCTGAGGTCCCTTAAGAAACGTCTGTACTACATATTTAAGAGGAGCATCAGTGAACAGCTTAGAAACAGTTGTTGTTTGTCTCTCCAGCCTCCCTCTCTCACTGTACCTGTCAGTATCTCTAGTGGTTAACTTTGGCACCACACTCATCTCCCAGCGCAGATCTCCTGACTCAAACACCAGGAGCCTCCCGGTCTCTGTGCCGACAATAACTCTCTCATCCGACACCCACATGTGGGACAGGAAGTTGTGAGCCTCCAGCTTCTGGAAGTTGGATTGTTTGAGGGTTCCTTCAGCATAGCGGAAGAGTTTAAACACCCCATTTCCACTCACGCAGATCTGTGTGTTGTCCTGAGGATTAAAACTAACCTTAGGAAATAAAAGAAATGTGTATTTTAAAACATTAATAGCTCCTTTTTGTTTTTTCACTTGCAGATAGACAAATCAAAATAACTCATTAGTTTAAACCTAATGATTAAAAGAAATTAGTCACCACTGTCTACACTTACATTGATATTTCAATTAATAAAAAGTTACATTAACCCATTTAACTTGTGGTCAACAGTGTATGTTCAAATTACATAAATCCAACACATCCACTCACAATCATGTCTTTTTTGAGTTTAAGACTGTTTTCATCACTTTTTCTTCATGCCTCAGGTTTTTAAAAGGATTTTGTTTTTTTATCCACCCTCATGCAATTTATCTTTATTAGCTTCCACTGGTGGCAAAGTCAGTAGAAACTCAAGAAGGACTATAAGGTGGCCATCTAAACTAGTCGCGTGCAAACTTAAACCCTGTTTTGTTCAGTACCTGGGAGATAGGGTTAGTTGTGGTGCCAGTCTTCACTGTGGCCATCACCTTTTGTTTCTCCCACATCCAGTAGAACAGGGTCCAGTCTGGAGCCCCCGATTGGCCAATGAGGTATTTGGAGTCTGGAGAGAAAGCCATGTAGACAAAGTCCTGCACTGGGGAGTCCCCCCCACTCAGGACTTTCCTCTTCCTGCTCTGCTCATGCTGCAGGTCGTACACAGTGATGGTGCCTTTCTCGCCTCTCTCTGACACGGCCAGGTAGCGGCGGTTGGAGCTAATGGCCAGGGCTTGCATGCCATGGCTTCTCTCTGTGCCTGCAGAGCATAGTAGCACTGATGGTTAAGAGTCTCCACATTATCAGTTATTGTTCTGTTAAACGTGACAGACATGCAAAAGAGTTCCAAATCTGTTTGAAATGTGATGCTAAATATTATAAATAGGGGGATTTTAAATGTAGGGTCCTTATACAAAGGTGTTATTTGTATATACTAGACACTAATTATTATGTTAATTAATGAATGTTAATTGTATACTAGTTGCAATAATTATTACACATAAAATTAATAAAATGCTGTCTATAGTCAAGTTTGGCCACGTGTTATAAACTGTTATACAGTTTAAAGGTGGCATAATAACGAGGAGACAAACTTAAAACACATACAAAGATTAAGTTATAATTCAAATATACAAGACACACAAACTAGTATCTACAAAATATTTACAGTTTATGAGTCCCTGAGTCAAGACATTCCACAGCCTAAAGTTCCCTCTCTTCAAAGGCGGACCCACACGAACGCAAACCAAGCAAGACACAACACAGCTGTTAAGGAAAGTCTCCCCTGGAACATTTTTTTGTATTCTTGAATTAGGTCAACTCATAGTCTTCTCTATTTCAGGGTATAAGGTTTTACTTCTTTTAGACCTTTAGAGTAGGATAATCTTCTGAATACAGGTATGTAGCTGATCACTCTTCTCTGTATTCAGTCCAGAGAGGCAATACCTCTTTTGTATCGTATTAACCTAAGTTATGCACCCATTCTAAGTGTTACTAGTGTATTGTACAACTTTAACATTACAGCACATCATTTAAATTTTATAACTATAACTGTATGTTCTTAAATATATATATATACTAACATTCTGTTTGCCTGTTTATTGTCTAGAAGTGTCTGTCACATCGTACAAAAATCCATAAGTATGTTTTATAGGCAGCTTCATGTTTTCCATTTTAATTTATGGTTTATGTCTTTGGTATCTGCATGTAACACTCTGTAGTTGTCTACATTAGATGTCATCTACTAGATGTTTGTTCAGACTTGAATTCCATCTGAATCTTTTTTAATTTCCTTTTCACTTTCTTCTGTTTTTGCTAATCCTCCTGTTTTGATGTCTGTGAATTTCAGTATTTTACTATGTATGCCAGAATCTAGATCATTGATACAAACTAGTCAGCATAGTGCTCCAAACACAGACCTCTATGGCACTCTACCAATTATATCCATCCAATTGGCACATTCACACACCTTATATCTAATATTATATGTTTGTTTCACTTGCAAGAAAAATATTCTTAATGCTTCTTTAGATAATTAGAACAGAATTAACCACAGACCGTTCCTTAAAATCAAAGATACCGAGTTCCCATATTGAGGTCCACAATCTAAAAAGACAATACAATATAGTCAATTTATGGAGATGCATTTTCTTACCTGGAATAAACTTCTGCCATTTCTGGTCAATGTTGTAGCGCACACAGTTGTTTCCAGATGGGAAGATGACAGTTTGCTCATCAAAGTACAGGAGATTATTGGTCACCCCGGCCCGGAGACCGAAGATGTGATGAGACTGAATAACAACCGCAGACATTGTTCAGCGATTGCTCGCCCTGCGAGTCACTTGGCGGACCTGCTAATACAAGATCCAATTCTACAAATCCCATACGCCAAAAATGCATTGTGCTCAATTAAAATGCAATATCGATTCAGTGAAAAACTATACTCTCATTCGCCGAATTTTAAAATAACTTTATCATATTTTACCTATATATTTAATTTAATATTTTATTCCAGGCACTAATAGAAATATAATTGTTGATACCGGTACATAATTTTAGTTTTTATCATTTTAATTAGCTAGAAATGTCCTACTCTAAGTGTTGTACAAAGTTTTTGCCTTAACCCGAAAAAAGTCACAATAGATTACCATATAAAAGCTTAAGTCATTATCAATATTTAAAAATCCTTTTTTGGTATATTTCTTTACACTTTTGACTCTTTAACGTATATGTTGTGTTTTTTAAACTTCAGAAGTCCTTAATTCGTCGCTTCTTTAAAAAAAAAATATTTTGACACTTACCAACACTTGTGTCTGCAGCGAGCCCAGTTTGCAGTCCAGCTAACATTGTTTACCAGTTACCAAGGGGACAGAAAGTGTCAAGTTCACGTGTTACTGTGACAACGAATGCTCCCAGACATCTTTACGGCAGTGATGTGTACCGGGAATTGTAGTGAAGTTCTCTTTTAGTTCCCAAATTTAATAAATGTAGAATTTGCTCAGTCGATTTATCAATAAATAAAGGAAACATTGAATTTGATATTTTTATATTTATTATATTTTAACACTTACTGATTATTAATCAACTATAAAACGGAGAAATTAATTCATAGCTTCATAACATTTGCGGAACGTTTCTTTCAAGCACTCCTCATCCAGGGCAGAATTGCGTGCGTACTTGGTCTCCACTTCCTCTTGTGCTCCATGTGTCCATGCGAGTGAGCTGCAACACGCTGAGGAGTTTTAATTTTCAGATTTGCTTGCATTTGTTGACTGTAAGATGGAGGATGTCGAAGATGATTTACAGTTAGGCTTCGAGTCCGAGGAAGAAGACGCCGATTTATCGGATGGAGAGGTGAGCACGCGCTTTTAAATCCGGTCTTTATGTTTGTCCATATCAGTACAGTTTATTACTGTAGTAATATGTTAAAAGTTGTGTTCATTTCTTCTCCTTAAACGTTTTTCCCCCAAACACGCGAGGAGCTCTATTATAGTTTTATAAGTCTGCATTATTTAGTAAGTATTTTAAACTATTATAGGTCTGGATAGCTATCGATACAGTTTATCTTTCGTTTTGAGTTTTTCCACTAAGACATATGTCTCATTGAGCTCTAAGGTCTGTTGTATTTATTTAAAAGGCTTAATTTAAAATCAAAAGTAAGCCCTTAACGGTATTAATTGTCTTTATATGTTTAGCTCCAGGAAGCCTTCTCCAAGGGGGAGCTGAAGCCTGGATTAAACATTCCTCTACAGGAAAAGAAGATCGTTAACAATATGGTGAGTCTTGTTTCCTTGTTTGTTTGGGTTCTTAAAACTTGTAGGACGAGGAGACATTGACAGTTTTATATGGGAGTTGTTACAATGTTTTCGTTTGTCAAATGTGTTACTGGTGCTGAAGTTTCTCACTAAACCAAATGTCTTGGAATTCTCTAAACTGAAGCCCACTTGTCTTTGTGTTCATAGGAAGGTCTGAAGCAGTGCTTGTCCGAGCTGCGAAAGAAATTACCCTGGTTGGAACGGCTGGATTTGACCAGTTTGCCAGCGCCTGACATTGTGGCTAAAGCAGAAGGGAGGCCAGTAGCAGAGGAGAGTGGGGAGATCAATGCAGAGGATGACTTCCAGAGAGAGATGTTCTTGTAAGCCCGCAAAAGCCTTTATTCACCACAGTATGCAAAGAGTTGCCATTTTGCAGATTGGAACTTTAAAGGGTTGAGATTTTTGCCTCTAATGCTGAAATATGAATTAAGCCCTTTTTCATCAGTTAGGCTACAAAAATGACTCACTTATTAGTTATCTCCCTTGTATATTAAATAATCTTGAGTACATCAGTAATGCTGTGGCTTGTGCACTCATTAAAATTATTCTGCATCAGCATTCTTTTGTACATATCACTGGCTTCCTGTAAAATGTGGAGTGGACTGTAAGGTTGTCCTGATCGTGTATAAGGTACTAAAGACAGCCTTCTCGCAATGAGCCACAATGTCTGTGGAACTCCCTGCCTCGATCTATTGGAGAGACTAGACTGCAACTGTCAACATTTTGGAACAGGCTTATATATACACCCTTGCCTTTGCTGGGTCTTTATTTTTTTTAAGCTCATGAGTCAAGTTATATTGCTATTATGTTTTACTTTCCCATGTGTACATATAGACGTACGTAATGAAGATAAATGCCAAGGCAAGCTTCCTCAAAAAATCTTGAGACACCAAAAGAAAAACAGTGGATAAACGCATGTTTCTTGTGTTATTGTGGGAAGTATTCATCACACTTTTTTTTTCTCATTGCCTGTTTTTCCTCAATGTATTTTAGCTATCGTCAGGCCCAAGCTTCTGTGCTGGAAGCATTACCACGGTTGCACAAATTGAAGATTGCTACCAAGAGACCAGAGGATTATTTTGCTGAAATGGCCAAATCTGACCAGCAAATGCAAAAGGTTGGTCCCACATACTGACGCATGAGACACAGAGAGATTATTAGTGGATTTAAAACAAACTTGGGGGCTCCTAATGCAGTCTGTTACAGGCAATTTGTCTTTTCCAGCAAATGGTTTAGCATCTTAATCAGTCTGTAGCATAGACAAAAATGCTAAATTCTCTTCTGTTGTTGAATTTGACAACATTTCAAAACGGCGTGTAGTCTTTACAAAATCTGTCAAGTGCGTTTGTGTTTCACATCTGTATCCAAGTGTGTTAAAGCTGGTATGAATTTGCATTTGAAAAAAATTGTATTGAACTAACTCCTTTGAATGAGATCTGATTTTTGTGTGATGTATATCCTGTACATCTTCTCTTGTAGATTAGAACAAAATTGCTGGCCAAACAGACAGCAATGGAGAGGTCTGAGAAAGCCAAGAAACTCCGAGAGCAGCGGAAATATGGCAAAAAGGTAAGTCAGTGGGTTCTGCTATCTACCTGTAAGGACTGTCCCCTTCCACAGTTGTTTACTCATACCTTGCATGTTTTATGACCTGCATGAATTGTACAAATGAAAGTGTAATAGATCTTCATCCTACTTATTATGGTTTGTACAAACTGAGGGTTCTCACTTTTGAATTAAGCTTTTAAAGTTGGTCATTGTTTGGTGATTTGTGGGGATCTGTTTTTCTGAAATATCGGTGTGTTGTAGGTTCAGACGGAGGTGCTGCAGAAAAGACAGAAGGCGAAGAAAGCCATGATGACTGCAGTAAAGAAATACCAGAAAGGTACAGTGGGCTGACACAAAGGATGAGGATACTAACGCAAGGTTTTAGACTGGTTTTAGATACCAGTCCATGACTTTACCTAAATATGCTTGTCTTATTGTGCTATAATAATACATTTCTAAAAGACAGCAAATAAGAGACTTTCAGATTCAGTTCAATTATTTTCTTGTGAGTGGAAAATAATGTCAAGTGATTTTACTGTTCCTTCCATTTTCTGTAGAAAAACAAGGGAAGCTGAAGGGGACTGTAATACTACTGTAGGTAAAAACTGTTTTTTAATCTTGATGCGTAATGTACAGCAAATTCTTACTCTACAGGAATGACCGACAAGCTTGATTTCCTGGATGGTGACCAGGAAAAAGGCAAGAAAGGGGATAGCCTATCAAAGCCAGTCATGAATCAACGAGGGTAAGAGCTCTCCTTTTTTTTTTCTTCATCAGTCTAACCTTACAACTTGGGTACTTCCCGTGAGATCTGTAGATAATCTCTTGTCATTCCGTCCGTCACGCTACCAGGGGTCAGTTTAGCACCGAACTGTTGTACTTGTCCACAGCCCCAGCGCAAAGAGGAAGTACAAGGACCAGAAATTTGGGTTTGGTGGCAAGAAACGCGGCTCGAAGTGGAACACCAAGGAGAGTTACGATGATGTCTCGGGCTTCAAGGCGAAATTTGCACACGGCAAAGGAGGGAAGTTTGGGAAAGGACGGAAGCAGAAATCCAATGTGAGTGGCATGCCCTTTGCCTCTGGTGTGAACCAGGGCTTTCAAAATATACTGTCATTTTTAAAAGATGCATTTGCTTTTTAACATAAGAGGGTGAATTGACTAGTTGAGTCAGTGTGCAGGCTGCAGACGAAAGAAGAAAGGTTAATTTATTGCTGAAAACGAGAAAAAAAAACACAGGTGATTGACAAATGAGGGTTAATAAACAATATATTGATAACCGCCCATAGCTTTTTGATAACCTATTTTGTCACCTTTGAAAGTTAAAAATAATATTGCTTCTTTTAAAATAATTGAGTATTAAGAATGTATGAATTGCTGCAGGTGGGAGGAATTGTTTCTTAGAGACATTTTGGATCTATTTAAAAATATTATCACCTAGATCTTTCTATGTTCTGTACCTTACAGTATTGGGGACTGTTTTGGGGCTTCTTATCTGGAGGGTTAAAAGGGTGTGCTACAGTTACAGTAATGGTAATGATACGTTGACAACTGAACTCTTTCCTGCTGTTTTATTTTTCTGACTTTTTTTATTTTTTACTTTGCAGAAGAGGCCAGGCAAGGAGGTCCGGAAGAAGATGAAGAATCGCTCTCGATAGGTACTGCCTAGGTCCTTTTTGGTTTTATTTTTTAGTCTCTACTGATTTTGTCTTTCTGTTCCAAGAATCTACTTTTGGAAACCATGTTAATGGAGTTTTCAAAGCTAATTTCCCCCTATACAGTATTCATGACAAATGGAGAGACACCTTTTCTGTATGTTTTTCAGTTCGGTACCTACAGGCTACAGTCTTTCAAAAACAAATTCCTTGAATAGCTGCCAGTGTTTGAGGCTGTTTTTGTGGACACGTCAGTATTTTCTCCACACCATCCAGAGGAACCACTGGGAGCCTCAGTGAGTGTCTTGGCACAGCCAGTGTATGAATGTTCTTTTGGCAACGTTTTGTACATGTGCTTTCCAAGGCAAGCAGGAAAACAGCAACAGAGAGTTACAGAACTTGCAGAAGTGATTTCTCAAAAGTGTGCTGATGTACAGGTTTCAGTTTGGAGAAGTTTTTTTTAGATTTCTTTTTTAAATCGGGAGTTAAATAAAACTTTCATGTTAAGAAGATACACGGGCATTTCTATTACAATACGCTGTAGAAATAATGTTATAGGAAGTACCTTCTTCTGTGTATAATCTCATGACAGTTACCTGTACCTGTGGTTTTGTATTTTTCTGTACAGATTTTTCAAGTATTGAAAAATAAATTACTAAAAACATTCAGCATTCTCACAAATTGTGATATTGTTGCAACAATATTTAAGATGCATGGATTCACCTAGGAATTGTCTGGTAACTTGCAAGTGTCATTAATGTTAAGAAACTTATTTTGCTCAGTTTGAAATTTTATTATATATAAGTATGCATTCAAATTAGTTTAGTTTAGCATTAATTTTCTTGTGCATGAATAATTGTGTAAAATAAGTTAAATGAGCAAGGTACCCCTCACTGTACATATAAGATCACTTTTATTAGCCATATACAATTTCTTGCATTAGGAATTTGTCTTTTGCATACCCCAACTTGCTTTCAATGAGACACAGGCACACAGGTGGGGAGAGAGAAGCTTGGGGTCAGAGCACAGGGTCAGCCATTTTTATGGCACCCCTGGAGCAGTTGGGGTTAAGGGCCTTGCTCAGGGGCCCAGCGGAGTAGGATTCCTCTGCTGGCCATGGGATATAGTAGTTCCGCATGCCAGTGTGGTGGGCTTATTGCTCATTTACTGTCCTCATGCTGTCCAGGACATCGGACAGCCTTGGTGCACACACAGTCTGTATACTGTTTTGGATCACGTTTTTCTTTGTGTTGCTCTTCTAGCTCATTTTGTTAACTTGTGTATACCTGATCATTTCTGTAAACTTGAAACATGGTACAAAGACAAGTAAATCTTGCCTCTCTTTATATAAAGTTCTCCTGGATAAAGGTCTGCTAACCTATTAATAAAATAGTGTATCAGTTCTGAAATATGTATGATATGAAGGGCAAAAGTGCCCTTTACAGCCTAAAAATGTATATAAACTATTTGTTCTCCATCCACTTAAAAGAATGAACAACCTGATTGCATTTTGAGGGTGTGGTCCAGTAGTGTCCTTTGATTCACTTTTAAGAAGCCCCTGGTACAGCTTTAGGCTGCAATTCTGAACAAAAAGACTGAAGAAAGGGTTCGGTGATTATGATTGTATGTTCTCCTTATATTTTAAGTTTTTTAACCAAGACAGTTGATTTTAAAATAAATGAATTTTGATAGTTTGTCAAGATCTTGTTTAATCATTCAGTTTGGAAGACAGGTGGCCACCATTGCATAGTTCAGCTACAGTTTGGGGCAGAATGCTGGTTTACAGCTGTGAACGTTCATTCTCCTGCTTTTCAAGGAGAGGCAATAGCTCTCCGCGTGTAACTTGCTGTCCTGCAGTGGAGGAAATGCTATCCCAGGTTCTGCGTTTGCTCTTTCAGGCGCCACGCTGCATCCATGTACTTTGTGATTTCTGAATTCTGCCGTGGGAAGTTGATCCTTCGATCGCTTCGATCTGAAACGATCTGCAACAGCAGCATGTGTTAAAAAAAACTTCCTTTTAAGAAACTCATGCAGGACATTTAGTTCCTGGTCTGTTATTATGTTTGATTAAATATTAATTTTCCATGTAGATATTGCTTTGAAGATAGGACTAAATGTGGCTCACAAAAGCAGCTTGCCCAATACTGGATTTCACTGTACAGGGTAAACTGCTACATATTTATGTTTCAGTGTTCAATGTGTTAATTGGTTAAATCACTAAATGCCTGATTGATACAACAGGTATTCATACAAATAAAACACTTCCAATGAGACACACTGTTTGAGCTACATCTTCTCTTCACAATTTCTTGTGCAAACGTCTTATCAAACATACTGTATACTAAATCTGTGAACTGCTAATCTCATTTGGCTTTCGAATGTTCCTCCAGTCCATGCATCTGTGGACCATGCAGCTTACCAGGGGTGTGGATATCCAGCCAATTTCCTGGCTCTCTGTCTGCGGATGGGTGTATTTCTTTGTAGGTTCCAGTCTAGCGCCGTGGATGATTTTTAAAAAATTAGCTAGGAGGCAAAAGAAACAAGAAATGTGTGTACAGTTGGCTACTTATGTAGTATTTCAAAACATGAAGGTATTTGAACAACATGTAAGCAGAAAATTGTATATCTGCAGCAGGGGTCTTATGGGGAAAAAAAATATTGGAACTGTTCAGCTTTATTTTTCCAAGTTGAAACTTTAAAATTCTGCGGTAATTTCTTTTGAGTTTGTCATTTTAATTACCCAATAAGCAAACGCGTGATACTTTATTCCCACCTGACTAAGGCAATGTAATATTTCTAAGAAATGAAGCGATGGATGGACGTTCTTATGTGACTTGTAAGTAACACCAGGGGGACTGACGAAGCCTTAATGTGCTGTTAAGGACCTTAAAATTTGAAAAGATCCTCCAAAGCTGCACTGCGAAAAGTGTAACGTATAATTCGAAGGACTGAAGACTGTTCTACTTTCTTAACCTACTGCGACCGTAGGGAGACAAAAACACTTTTAATATGCATCTTAAAACCAATCGTTTCTAAAGTGATTAACTTCACTTACGGTCTTCCTTCCCGTCTTCATTGGCGTGCCTCGGCATCGGCTTCCCAGGCAAAACGTGAACTAGGGGGAAAATATATATATAAATTAGATTGGTGTCGATTTCAAAAAACAGTTTTTTTTATCTTGTCTGCACTTTTCTAATTTTTGTTGGTCAAAATCGATAGAAGTCTCGAGGGAAATAAACATAACATTCAACATAATGATGTTTCGCCGAGACGCCTGTGATTCAATCTGTAAATGTTACTGCTTACGTTTTTTGAAGGGATTAATACTGAATTGGGTGTAGAGTTTTTGGCTTCGCTGTTCTTTCATGATAGTTTCACAGAGGATTGCGTTCTGGTGCACAATATCCACCGGCTCCTTCTCTTTTTCCTTCCCCTTAGCCGCCATCCTGCTCCGTGCTTCCAGCTAGCCGTCTTATCCCGATCAGAAACCAGCAAGAACAACTTGGAGTAAGGGAGAAATGCAAGGTGCTTCAGGAAAGCTGTCAAGTTAGAAAAGCGATAGGTTCGACCACGTTGGAAGGCTGCTTGTTGCTCTGATGTGTAACTTAGCAACCATAAACAATGGACCGAATAAAACTTCAATGTATCGCAAGAGGGCGCAGTTCGCTCTTGTTTGTACCACAAATGCTGAATAATTGAAATTAAATTGATACTACTATTATAAACCAAATATTAACTGCGCCTACAAAAAATCCTGCTTTAATGCTTCTTTAGTTTTAGAACGTCTCCTTTCACTTTGACTGTGTAATAAAATGCAACTCGTGCTCTTGGGATATGAACAGCTGTATTGTGTAATTTGAGTAGGCTGTATTGAGATTATAAACTTAAGAAGACAAATTAGATTTTTGGTCTTCAGTATTAGACTTTCTTAACATTTTAGACTTGTGAGATTGGTACTATGATCAGTGGTTAAATGTTAACTCAAAATACAGGGAGGACAAGTTTGAATAGTTTGTAAACATGAAGGTAAATTGTTCTCAAATGTACTGTATGTGTCATAGGACACAGTTAAATTGAGTTCTTAGGCTCTATTGACAGTGAAGCTTGAGAAGCCGTAGTACAGCACACGGAAGTGTGGCTACATTGTCTCTAGGGAAAGTGAATATATTTTGTTTTAGAAGTGCTCTAGAAAAGCGTGAGTCTAATAGCTGATTTAATGAAGTCTCAGAAGTGCAGAATGACTTCCAGGACAGAGTTGAAGTATGTGATGATGGGATCCTGGATTTTTCAGTGACTTGAGCCATAGTGTGGAATGCCTGTTCTCTCGGAATGTTCTGAGCTGGCTTTTAGCAAACGTTGGAAACAGAGCTTTATTGTCTTTTATAATTGCGTTGCTTCCATGAGGTTACTCTAGATACTGATTCATTTAATCTGCGAACAAATACTAAACTTCAGCTGCCTTTGGGAGCGTTATGGGTGATTCATGGTATTTTGTTCCATTATTACAGCACATAGTCATCTGTTACTTTGGACCAGAAATCAAAGGGCATCTTTTTTTAAAAAAAAAAAGCAATATAATGGCTACCTTGAAAAGCTGTCCCTTTGTATTCATCAGGCTTAGTTCTGGAATCAGATGTCATTATAACACTGATATTCCAGAATTCTAGATTTGTGTGCATATTAGGATCTAATGCTTCAGGCAAAGAACATAGAAAGCTGACCCTTGTTGTAACTCATCTCAGCTGTATTCCTGTCTATTATGTTGTAAGAAACCATCCAAGTGACACTCCAACCCTCATTATGTACAGTGTAATATTACCTTTTAAAGTGCATGCACCTCCATTGAGCATCATTGAAGGATGAAGCTGTTCGAATTATTTTGTATATTGATGTCTTTAATGGGAATGCAAAGGCTGATCATGATTCAATCTCTAATTGACTAGAAAGGGAGTTATTTGTATTTTACTTGGTTTGTTTAGCAAAGACTGATGACTTTCCTAAATCTTTCTGAAGATCAAAATCTGGTCCTTTTCCTCGAATTGGAAATTTGTCTCATAATTTAATTCATTTTGTACATTTTATGGGCTTACCCCTGGAGAAGGGCAATTGAGTTTTCTTGTATCAATCTGAATTGTACCCAGCACTGAAAGCTGTAATTCCAGGTTTTGATGACTTAATCCTACCTTTGTCAGTTTTCAGAACCGTCCTCTAAGGTGTCATTAAATGGAGTGATAAAAGAAAGTCTTAAACCGTGTTAAGCAGTGTAATTCCACTCAGTTGTTTTTAATTGACTTGTTATAAAGTAAAAGGCTGCATTAGTCAAAACCACACTGCAATGCTCTGATGATAAAATAGCTTTTGCCTTGTTGATAACAAAGGAAGCACAAACTGTGACGGAGATAGTGCTTCTTGAAATGTTTAACAAACCAAGGTATGTGATGATGGAAATATTAATCCCTGCTCATTCATGTGCAGCTGGGCTAATAGGTTTCCAAGGCACTCTGTAGTCATCTCTGTGATCTTTGATAAGTTTTGACAACATGTTTAAACAACCAAGTTCAGGCGAAATGAATAAAACCAATGAGTCTGGTTCCCCTTGTAGGTTTTTAATTTGCATTGTGATAATATTGTTTAAACAATTCCTACAGTTTAAAAGATGTGAGGGTTTTGTATTGTTGTGGGTCTTCTAAAAAGCCATATTTTGTTTTAGTTGGCCAGGTCAGCTTTGTAAGTATGCTCTTGGTTCTTTGCTCTTATTTGCTGATATTTGTTTTTCACTAGATACAATTAATAACCCGTTGTCACTTCACATAATGTACATTATGTACAAATTAATTAAATAAAGTAATGTTTTTTTAAAACATTTTTGTGAATTATTGCTTCATTAGTAAACGCATGACTGCTGATTCCTTATGAGCTGATCCGGGGGGGCCAGTGAGAACTGTCCAGGCTAGTGGGCAGGATATTTGTAAAGCCTTTATTGAAGAAATTGGGTTAACAATGGCCAAGATACAGCGTTTTGTAGTTCCTGTGAATGGAGTTCTATTCCCTCGTTGGAAGTGAACAGCTTGGTTTGTCTTTTGGCTATACAGGCTGAACTCTAGCCATGGAATTCCAAATGTTTGTGAAATGCTGTTTGAGCGTCTGAGCTGAGTTTTGTTGCTAATGTTTGGGCAGATTTTCCACAGTACAGCAAAGGATTGTGTGGCTTGAACTGTGGCTTTATTGTGGGGTCAGCTTAACCTACTTCAGTGAATTTGGACCAATTTAGCATTCATCCAACCATTTTGTAACCACTTTATCCAGTACAGACAGGAGAGCTGAAGAGCTGGAGCCTGTCTCGGCAAGCAACAGGCACAAGGTGGGATACATCCCTGATGGGACACCAGTCCACCTCAGGGCACACACAGACACAAACACAACTACCCACACCTGGGCCAGCTTTTCCCAGGAGACAATTAACCTACCAGTATGTCTTTGGACTGTGGGAAGAGAAAACTCAAGTGAACACATAGAGAATGCGCAAACTCCACATAGACTACCCCAGGAGGTGAACCCAGAGCCCCCGCGCTGCAAAGCAGCAATGCTAATCACTGCACAACCAAATGTAGTATTAATACTTAATATTGATTATATAATAATACAAAAGCCATTATTGCCTTTTGTCTGTTAGTAGTGTGCTGTTGTGATTGTGTGACAGCATTTTGAAATCATGCCCTTTTTCTGCGTGGCAACCCACACAGATTTATCCTTCTAAAAAGTACAGAATAATGCTTTGTGAGAATCTTACAGTATAAACTAAAACATTGGAATGGGACTTTCTAGTTTAAACACGGGCTCCTGTTCCATTTGTGAGCACAAGTCATCCATAGCTGCAGGCTGAAAAAGGACAGATAAAACAGAAAGAAAATACACCACCTAGCGTATTGTCTGCACAGACATGCAATAGGATACACTGCATCTGATCTGGTTTCAATTGTATTGTGAAAATAAAAAGAGGCCACGGTGTTCTGTGGGTCCAGATAAATTTGTTTGCTATCACCTTGTGGCACCAGCAAATGTACATTATTATGGGTTTGCCTGGCTGACAGACTTTCCGTGTGGGTTGGAGGACACACTTGGAATATCATAATCTATAAGATAAGCCTTGCAATTGCAGATGGGAAGTTGTTTTAGTGTTGTCTTTTTTTAATTTCAAAGAACTGTGCTACGATCATGAGCGCTTGGCATTTTGTCTGAAAGATCATATTCGTATCCCTGCTCTCAGAATGGAATATAATTCCAAATAGGTTTGGGCTTTTAGCCGCGGTGATTAAACAGGTTACCCTGATCTTACATTCCTAGCTCTACCACACAGTGGATAAGAAAAAAAACCCAACTAACAGCACATGATCAGCTATACCTGATAAGGAGCTGTAGGTTTCTTGCAAGTTCCATTTTTCTTCCTTTGGTAGTTACTTGGGAAAAACACTAGAGGGCGGTCGTGCTCATATAGGATTCAGAAGAGCGGGGACTGCGTTCTTTTCGAATCAGAATCCATTTGTCTTTATAAAAACGGAACTGTAAAAACAGAACACGGGTTAGCTAGCAAGGGAGGCCATTAGGTGCATTTTTTTTCTTTAGATAGTTATGAATTATATTGGTTGTATTACAGTACTGCTTTACAGTACTAATATTTTTTAATGAAATGCTTATATACAGTTTGCAGTATTAGAGCTATGTCAGAATTCAACAGGAGTGATCAAGCAAGAAAGGCTACAACTCAATTCAACAAGGCTGAATTCTTAGTAATTCTGAATAAGTCATCATTATTATTATTGTACTGCAGGCAAAATTGAACAACGTGAAGTTAAAAAACACTGTTTCATCCACTCACTGGTTTTAAAAATTCTCATCAAAACTCTTAGCATAGGTTTATACTGTTTTAAGTTCATTCTTCATTGGTTTTACAAATCTACTTATGTTTGCCGTAAGAATAAAATGTGTGTCATCATTTTTGTACTAGGCTGGTGATTTTTATTTGTGACTAATGATAGCAATGTCATGCGCTGGAAAAACAAAACATTTCTAAAGCTGGTTATTAGTGAGAGTTCTACAAGAGAATTCCTTAGGGAAAACAAAGTTTACCTCATACCTGCAATATATACTGTACTGAAGTATCACTCGTGATGACCATCATGTGTTCAACAGACCTACAATTAGACTCTAATGAACTCTAAAATATGCTATCCTCTTCCTTTGTTCGTGCTTTCTGGGTCCACACAACAACTGTGTCCTGGAATTCTGTCACCAGAGGGGTCTGGGGGGTCTGGAGGCTGAGTTATTCCTTCTGATTTGAAATGCTCTACCAACATTACTTGCTATGTCAGTGTTTTTCTTTGTTGTGGAGTAGTAGTTATTCAGCAGCACTTGGGATATGAGATTTTATTCAATATGATGAACTGTAATCTTGTTGTCGTGTCTTTGGAGGAAGGAATAGTTTGCATTTTCTCTTTGTGAGTAAATCATTCAGTATTTGTTAGCAGTAATATAAAGCTGTAGTGAAGTGTCTTTTCTTAAATCTCATTGGCGCATTGGCTTCTACAGTGTATCTGTTGGCATCTAT